ACACACACACACACACACACACACACACACGTGTGATTCCTACCGTGAAGGACCCAGCCATGTGCACAGCGATCACATGACCTGATCTGAGTTTGTCCTGGCAGGAAACACTCACACGGACAGTCAGCTTGTGTGCAACCAACAACCTGTAGAACAAGAAAGTAGAGCGAAAAAGTGTGAAACGCTTCTAAAGTTCACACATTTTAAACTTATAAATAAAATAAACCAGACTGATGAAATCAAGAATCAAAAGAGTTTGTTTCTCATTACAGTCACTTTGAAGCTCAAACTGGGCGAAACATGTTTAATCTGAATCTGATATTTAAGAAAACAATAATAAATGTATGCTTTAAATTAAATAAAAAATTAGAATTAAAATAAATCAAATTATAACAATAAATAAATTATAAATAACAAATGATAATATAATTATAAAATGTATAAAAAATAAAAAAGCAGAATAAAATTGCAATTTGGTATGTAAAATTTTTTTTAAATACATTTTTAAAAATAATTAATTTTTTTATTTTAATGTTTATTGGAGTGTGTTCACAGTGAAGTATGTGCGTTTATGGTTATGATTGAACGAATTGCTTCACGTTAAAAACTGTTGCGAAGGATGACCAGAGTTACAGTTTCACACTGAAATGTATATGAAATTTAAATTAATTTAATGAAAATTAAATATAGTCACGCTGACCTTCAAAATAGAACAATCTGAAAACACAGTAAAAATGTCATTTAGAGCACAAGTATATTTCAGGTCAATTTGACACCTTATTTATAAAGTTGATGATGCTGTTTATTGATTTTAGTGAATTAATGATAGAATTGTCCACCTGTGCCTCCTCCTCCATCTTCAGAGTCTGCTCATCTCGCTTCAGAAGAGACTCGTCGCTGTCCGTCTGTCAAACACGCAGATGCCGAACAATCAACGTCAACATACCAATGAACAACGCAGGAGAAAAATCAGACAAAAATGTTCTCGCTCTCCAATGCATGACGATAAAATTAATTGAACCGAGAAAGAACTACATTAGAAACAAACGTTCTAATAGTTCGAAGTGAAGTGTTTTTCAGCCGGTCATCATGTTTTCTGTTGAAATTACTCATAAATCTCACGAAGACTTTCAATAAACAGGAATATTTAGAGAACATATTTCTCAAAAATTAAAAGTATGCACATGTGCGATACCTCCTGGAGGAGTGTGTGTGTCCACGTCCCCATGTCTTCAGACTTTCCCGGGTTTAGTCCGTATCTGGAGTCTCCTGATAAAGTTCTGATGGGATCGTTGGGGCCCGAGGAAACATAAAGAGCCCTAATCACTATCACTCTCTCTCCAAACCGCCAGACTCCGCCCACTTCTAATGAGAACAGCAGAGCGGCTGCGTTTGATTGGACGAGAGCGTTCCTTTGTCTTGAAGAGACAGAAATTCCAAAACAACTCAGAAACACTCGGGAGTGGAAGAGCTCTGGGCTAAACTGCACAGAGACACAGATCTCAAATGTGCTGATCAGCATTTCAACAGCCCCATATATATATATATATATATATTAGAGAGACTTTTCTTGCAGTCCTAGAGAGGTGAAACGTTCTTAAACTCGGTTGTGGAGGAAATCTCACTGGCAGGAAAACGGCATTCAAGTATTACGTGAGTTCAGGTTTTAGTCTCTAGTTCTGTTTTAAAATGCTGCATCAAATGTCAATATAAATGGACATAAATTCAAGAAAGCAAAGCAATCACAGTGTGGTATGCAAGCAAATATTATAACGATGACATGCATCTTTCTTCAGATTCTGAAGTGTCAACAGTAGTCCTGTTTGTGCAAACAAACTATTAAAAACAAGTTTCGTAAATAGAAATAAACTAAAAAACTTCAACTTCAACTGAATTTTAAACGTTGCCTTGGCAACTAACTAACAAAACTTTAAGTTGAAGTACTAAAATTATTCAAAAGATAAATAGAAATAGTTTTAAAAATCAAAAGCGACTAAACAAACTAAAATTACAATAAAAACGGA